ACATGTACTTACAAACGAATAAACACATGCATCCACATGTACTTACAAACGAATAAACACATGCATCCAGAGGTACTTACAAACAAATAAACACATGCATCCACATGTACTTACAAACGAATAAACACATGCATCAACATGTACTTACAAACGAATGAACACATGCATCCACATGTACTTACAGACGAATAAACACATGCATCCACGTGTGTTTACAAACGAATAAACACATGCATCCACATGTACTTACAAACGAATAAACACATACATCCACATGTACTTACAAACGAATAAACACATACATCAGCAGGTACTTACAAACGAATAAACACATGCATCCACATGTACTTACAGACGAATAAACACATGCATCCACGTGTGTTTACAAACGAATAAACACATGCATCCGCATGTACTTACAAACGAATAAACACATGCATCAATATGTACTTACAAACGAATAAACACATGCATCCACATGTACTTACAAACGAATAAACACATACATCAACATGTACTTACAAACGAATAAACACATGTATCTACATGTACTTACAAACGAACAAACACATGCATCCACATGTACTTACAAACGAATAAACACATGCATCCACATGTACTTACAAAGGAATAAACACATGCATCCGCGTGTACTTACAAACGAATAAACACATGCATCAACATGTACTTACAGACGAATAAACACATGCATCAACATGTACTTACAAACGAATAAACACATGCATCCACATGTAATTACAAACGAATAAACGTCGACGTCATCTGTACTCAGCGGCGAATGAACGCATTCTCACGCATGTATTTAAGAATTGACTTTCACTTTGAGTTCATTAGAGTATGAACCTTCGTAGAGTGAAGGCCAAACTGTATGAACGTCGGAGCTTTAATCTGTTCATTCACAGTATAGATGGCCTTGACGTTTATTCGTTTATAAGTACATGTGTGTGAATGTGTTCATTCGCCGCTGAGTTCAGATGACCTTGACGTTTATTTGTTTAAATTCGACGACGTTCATACAATGTTTGGCCCTCACTCTATGAAAGTATATACTCCAATGAACTCACACAAAGTGAAAGTCAATTCTTATAATTTTTTATTACAATTTCTTACCTCAAAGAATGTAGGCCAAGATCTAAACACAATTTTATTTAGTATGTGTGACTTCATGTTTACACTGACAGCCATACAACAACCAGCTATATCGCGGAGTAAAATAGTTCCTCAAAAAGAGAGGTGACATGAGCATATGGATGCACAACTTGCTCTTCAGAAAAATCTTACACAACACATGTGTTCATATAATATCACCATTAGATGAGAAAGGTTTGTAAAGAACTACCTCGGTAAGTCACAATGACAGCGCGTCGTAATACATTTACATCAAGTACAAGACGTCAAAATGGCCGACTAGATAAACGTGACGGGAGAGATTTCCGAAGTTGTTTATGAACCTATGGTGGTTACATATGTTAGCCATCATTGATCAACTGACCGATCATTGAAAGGTGATTAAAGATGCGTCAAACAGACACCTAGGTAAATTCTTAGATAGTTGGAGACAGATCGAGTCGATACTGACGATAGTTTGGATGTGCATTTCTTCGTTTGTTTATTAGGATGGGCCGAAGCGAGGATATTCGTCAACAAGCATGCAGTCAAACTCTCTGACTTTTCTCAATGCATACTGAAACGCCGAGACCAAGATTAGAGGTTCTAAATGATCAGAAAGAACGCTTATGCATGTTTTCGTGCTAGGGAATTCCCAGGGGTTTCCCCAGGAATGTGGAAGTAGTCCGTCACTGTTTACGTCATTTCAAGAACACAGTCTCGTGAAAAACGTATGAATGTCAAATTGTGTCGTTCATATACCTATGAACGTAGATTTCGCGGTCATGTGACCGACCTCTCGTCCAATGTAAAAGCCGCATATCCTGTAAACGTCAAATTAAAAACCTATTCACGAATGAATGAAGACTTGCATCCACGTGTACTTATGAACGAATGAACACTAACACGAATACTCATCAGCGAATGAGCACAAACAAACAAACACACATGTACTCAGGAATGAATGAACACATGCACTCACGTGTCCTCCGTGAATGAATGATCAGATGCATTCACGTGGACCCATTAGCGAATAAACACACACACACACACACTCTCTCTCTCTCTCTCTCTCTCTCTCTCTCTCTCTCTCTCTCTCTCTCTCTCACACACACACACACACACACACACACTCTCTCTCTCTCTCTCTCACACACACACACACACACAAACACACACACTCACACTCACACACACCAATACATACACAAATGTACTCACGAATGAATGAACACATGCACTCACGTGTCCTCCGTGAATGAATGATTAGATGCATTCACGTGGACCCATCAGCGAATAAACACACACACACACACACACACACACACACACACACACACACACACACACACACACACACACACACACACACACTCACTCACTCACTCACTCACTCACTCACTCACTCACTCACTCTCACACACAAATACATACACAAATGTACTCACGAATGAATGAACACATTGTGTTACGTGTCGATTCCCAAATTGAAACAATATGTAAACCAAGACATCTGCACGTAAAGAACTGTGTGTGTGAAACCAACAAACAAACAACTAATGGTACACAATCAACAACTGTATAGCAAATGTAAAACCGCGCCCCACTGCCTCTCAAAATGAATATATTTCTTAACGTTTTTCTTTACTAATAAACAGCAAACTCTCTGCACTGCAGGTGTATAAGTCTAAAGGTAAACAGGCATGTATTTGTTTTTATGATATTGGTGTCCTGTTTTCTATTGAAACGTTTAACAGAGGTAAATCCTTGATTTGTCAATGCTGCTGCAATTTCGTCTTTTGTCATGTCAGGCAGACACTTTGCTTGGTCTCGAACAATTCCTTTACAGGAGTTCAGAGATTTGTGCACTGAAACAACAGCCTGGGTGTTAACAAACTGCTTGAGACCCAGCCTGGGTGTGAACAAACTGCTTGAGACCCAGCAGATTGACAGATTGTTATCTCTGTGCATATCCGACAAGAAGTGAAACATTTTGGAGACGAGTTACATTTTTTAATTCTCCACAGACACTCTGAATGCCCTAGGAGACAGCAAAAGGATTACGTTTGAGAAAATTTCCTTAAGTAGAAGGTATAACTATACACCTTCACCAAGAATTAGCAACATCTGGAGAGACATCTTCATCAGATGACAAAGAGTCCACATGACGACGTTTATTGGTTTTCAATGAACCAGAAATTTGGTTTTGTGACATGGTGTGAGAAAAACAAATAGGCACCCCTGATTCCCACCCACCATGAAGTGTCAGTCTACAACATCAGGGCTACAGGCGTGGTATACTCCAGAAAATTCGGCCTATGACAGAACATTGAGACATATAGAATTCGGAGGTTGACATCACCAGATTGGCCCATGAACCACCGCCTTCTGGCATAGGACTCTAGGCAAGATTTAGATTTGCGTGAATGGGGTTGTCATAATGCATCATAACAAATGGATTACTATGATGTATCAAAAGGGACAGTTTTCCATGCACAACGTGACCAGCTGAATGATAGAATCGGGCCAATTCTACCAATCATCTAGGTGAAGTAAGGTTCGAAGTGGTATGTTGGGTTTACAAGGAACACCAGTCCCTGGCTCCAGTGCCCTCAACCACCAAAATCCCGTCCTCCACCGACACAGGGGCACGATCCTCGGCAAAAACATTGCCCAATTTAGTCGCCTCATACGACAAGCAATGGGGTGCTGAGGACACATTCTACCCCGAGTCCACACGGGGGAAGAGCGATTAGCGTTACTCAGCACTCGCCACGTGGAGGTTGCTCTTTCATGTGTGTCCCAAATGCAGTAGAATGAGCTTCTACCGAATCTGAACAGAAACAATGTAATACAGTTACAATCATTGGGACGGTCGGGTAGCCTAGTGGTTAAAGCGTATGCTCGTCACGCCGAAGACCCGGGTTCGATTCCCGACATGGGTACAATGTGTGAAGCCCATTTCTGGTGTCCCCCGTCGTGACATTGCTGGAATATTGCTAAAAGCGGCATAAAACAATAATAAAGTTACAATCATTATTTAACTAGAAAATACACTGCTATATAGCAGTACAGTTCACTCACATGTACTCATCAGCGAATCCTCAGTGAATTCACAGACACGTGTTCTCACGGACAAATGAACACATACCCTCCCATGTTTTGTTTATTTGTTTATTTGTTGTTTAACGCCGCACTCAGCAATATTCAAGCTATATGACGGCGGTCTGTAATATTTGAGTCTGGACCAGACAATCCAGTGATTGACATCATGAGCATCGATCCACGCAATCGGGATAGATGACATGGATCGACCAAGTCAGCGAGCCTGACCACCCTCACATATACTCATCACTTGTACATGTGAGGTTATGTGTGCTCATGAACGAATGAGCACGTACACTCACGGAACACGATAGTAGACCGCATTAAACAGCTGTAAACGTGATTTGTATATTCCCAAATATTTACTGATGTAAACGTGATGAACAATATCACTTCTCTCAGTGCCACAGTCGCAGAGTCGTACCGAGTTACAGTATACTTAATTCGACGTAATAAGCGCACCGCTCTAATAAGCGCCCACGGCGATATTTGCTAATATATTGGCTAGTGAACAATCCCAATTAGCACCCCTACCGATTGATCAATGTACACAAGACCTATTTATTCGTGTATAATACGCACTCGTGTGTAATATGCACCCTCAATTATGGGCAACTAAATTCTTGAAAAATATATCTGTCGTATATAAACATTTCAGGCTGTCAGCATAAACTCCGAAATTTATCTTTCAACTCTGTTTTTTTCACCAAAATAATATTCTAATAAGAGCCCTATATTTGTAATTTTGAGAGCGCCCTGGGCGCTTATTACGTCGAATACGGTATGCATATTTGCGTGGAGGCTGTGAGTAGATAGACATTGTCCAGGAGGAGTATAGAGGGCGTGGCCGTGCAGCGTGGAGGAAACAGGACGTGGCTGTGGAGGCTGTGAGTAGCTAAGACATTGTCCAGGAGGAGTATAGAGGGCGTGGCCGTGCAGCGTGGAGGGAACAGGACGTGGCTGTGGAGGCTGTGAGTAGATAAGACATTGTCCAGGAGGAGTATAGAGGGCGTGGTCGTGTAGCGAGGAGGGAACAGGACGTGGCTGTGGAGGCTGTGAGTAGATATGACATTGTCCAGGAGGAGTACTGACTGACTGATTGAGTATGGTTTTACGCCGCTTTTAGCAATATTCCAGCAATATCACGGCGGGGGACACCAGAAATGGGCTTCACACATTGTACCCATGTCGGGAATCAAACCCGGGTCTTCGGCGTGACGAGCGAACGCTTTAACCACTAGGCTACCCGACCGCCCACAGGAGGAGTATAGAGGGCGTGGTCGTGTAGCGTGGAGGGAACAGGACGTGGCTGTGGAGGCTGTGAGTAGATAAGACATTGTCCAGGAGGAGTATAGAGGGCGTGGTCGTGTAGCGTGGAGGGACCAGGACGTGGCTGTGGAGGCTGTTAGTAGATAAGACATTGTCCAGGAGGAGTATAGAGGGCGTGGTCGTGTAGCGTGGAGGGAACAGGACGTGGCTGTGGAGGCTGTGAGTAGATAAGACATTGTCCAGGAGGAGTATAGAGGGCGTGGTCGTGTAGCGTGGAGGGAACAGGACGTGGCTGTGGAGGCTGTGAGTAGATAAGACATTGTCCAGGAGGAGTACTGACTGACTGATTGAGTATGGTTTTACGCCGCTTTTAGCAATATTCCAGCAATATCACGGCGGGGGACACCAGAAATGGGCTTCACACATTGTACCCATGTCGGGAATCGAACCCGGGTCTTCGGCGTGACGAGCGAACGCTTTAACCACTAGGCTACCCGACCGCCCACAGGAGGAGTATAGAGGGCGTGGTCGTGTAGCGTGGAGGGAACAGGACGTGGCTGTGGAGGCTGTGAGTAGATAAGACATTGTCCAGGAGGAGTATAGAGGGCGTGGTCGTGTAGCGTGGAGGACCAGGACGTGGCTGTTGAGGCTGTGAGTAGATATGACATTGTCCAGGAGGAGTATAGAGGGCGTGGTCGTGTAGCGTGGAGGAAACAGGCCGTGGCTGTGGAGGCTGTGAGTAGATAAGACATTGTCCAGGAGGAGTATAGAGGGCGTGGTCGTGTAGCGTGGAGGAAACTGGGCGTGGCTGTGGAGGCTGTGAGTAGATAAGACATTGTCCAGGAGGAGTATAGAGGGCGTGGTCGTGTAGCGTGGAGGGACCAGGTCGTGGCTGTGGAGGCTGTGAGTAGATAAGACATTGTCCAGGAGGAGTATAGAGGGCGTGGTCGTGTAGCGTGGAGGGAACAGGACGTGGCTGTGGAGGCTGTGAGTAGATATGACATTGTCAAGGAGGAGTATAGAGGGCGTGGTCGTGTAGCGTGGAGGGACCAGGACGTGGCTGTGGAGGCTGCGAGTAGATAAAACATTGTCCAGGAGGAGTACTGACTGACTGATTGAGTATGGTTTTACGCCGCTTTTAGCAATATTCCAGCAATATCACGGCGGGGGACACCAGAAATGGGCTTCACACATTGTACCCATGTCGGGAATCAAACCCGGGTCTTCGGCGTGACGAGCGAACGCTTTAACCACTAGGCTACCCGACCGCCCACAGGAGGAGTATAGAGGGCGTGGTCGTGTAGCGTGGAGGAAACAGGCCGTGGCTGTGGAGGCTGTGAGTAGATAAGACATTGTCCAGGAGGAGTATAGAGGGCGTGGTCGTGTGGCGTGGAGGGACCAGGACGTGGCTGTGGAGGTTGTGAGTAGATAAGACATTGTCCAGGAGGAGTATAGAGGGCGTGGTCGTGTAGCGTGGAGGGACCAGGACGTGGCTGTGGAGGCTGTGAGTAGATAAGACATTGTCCAGGAGGAATATAGAGGGCGTGGTCGTGTAGCGTGGAGGGACCAGGACGTGGCTGTGGAGGCTGTGAGTAGATAAAACATTGTCCAGGAGGAGTATAGAGGGCGTGGTCGTGTAGCGTGGAGGGAACAGGACGTGGCTGTGGAGGCTGTGAGTAGATAAGACATTGTCCAGGAGGAGTATAGAGGGCGTGGTCGTGTAGCGTGGAGGGAACAGGACGTGGCTGTGGAGGGTGTGTGTGAATAGTGTCATATGGCAGTGTATTTTATGTTTTAACAATGATTGTATCGGTCTTATATTGTTTCTGTTGATATTCGGTTGACGCGCCTTGCGTTGTGTTCGGGCACTGATAAAGCGTACTTATTAAGGTAAGCAGTCGTCAAGATGTTACTATATCTTGATGCGTTCGGTTCCAAATTCAATTTAGCGCGGTTAAATCTACAGGTAACCTAGTTCTACATTGAAAACACAGTATGTTTATCTCCTAATTATTATCACTGACCTTTGCTATCACCATTGTATTATTGTGTTTGACACTGACCACTCCCATCATATTATATATTGCCATTGAATACTGCACTACCCCTCTATTGTGTACTGTCATTGTATGTGATGTGCTGTCATTTGTTTTGATTTGTAAACGTACTGAATTTTGTAATACGTTCAGATTATGGATTAAGATATTATTTCAATTTGGGATCAGACACGTAACAGAAATCGAGGGTTCTTCCGGGAGCGAAAATTTACATCACAAATTATTTGATAAAATTATTTGATAAACATTTAATTGTCTAATACTGAGAGAGGCCAACAATCACTTTTATCTTTAGTGTAGAGACATTTTTCAGTTAATATTCAACGGAATGAAGGTCTGCAATGACGATAATAAATATAATGCAATCAAAGTTATTTTGCCAAAATAAAGACGCTGATGGTATTTCATTGACGTGGTCGTTTAATTCAATGTATTATGTGTACAATTTCGTGACAACTGTGAGTTGACACGAAATATTAACCCACATATCACTGTTGAAAATGGTGTGTATGTCATTGTTTACATTTCACCGATGTGACGACCACATGAATCTCGAAACAGCTTAAATAATGTTTCCCTCCACTGAAAGTAACAATAGACGTTATTTTCGTGACGCATACATTGCAACAGCATTTATGAAAATGCTAAGAACAAATTTTAACCACCCGTTCTAGCGTGTGTTTATAGTAAATACATGTCATGACCGCCATGTTTGTTCGTCTGGTGGAGGCCGCCATTGTGCAGTCATTTACTGGGTCAGGGTAGCGCCAGCGCAGCATACCCAGGGAACCAGGCTGGAATTGGCCAAACATTACAAACTTGACATCCAATCGGGTATGCTTAAGGCTGATGTCAAGAAAATGTTGATATCTTTGATTAATATATGAATTTTGGATAATGATGCTTTGGCTTTGAAGAAAAAAACTCATATATTGGTTTTGAAACATTTAGAATTTAAAAGAGGAATATTGGCTTTGAAATTGAAAACAAAATGAGATTGGATGCTGAAAAATCAGAAAAAGAGAGAGAATTTCGCCTCAAAGAATTGAGGCTGAGAATGAAAAATTTAAAAGACTGAATTTATTTTCAAAAATTTCTTCACAAGAAAGTTATAAATTATTGGAGACTTGTGAAAAAACAACATAACGAGTCGTTCGGTAGAGTCTACGATTGCACCTGGAGCATGGGTTGATTATTTTAAAGAATTGTTAAATCCTTTTTCAGTATCTTAAACATCATAACGAAGAAGTGTCGACTGCCTTAGCAATGATGATGTCTTTTTATGTGACTTCATAGATTAAGATGTTATTGATGCTGTAAGGCAACTTAAGTGTAACAAGTCACAAAAGTGCTGAAGATGTATTTACGCCATATCTCCTCATATTGTTTAATCAAATATTACATTGTGGAACATATCCCAAATCATGATCTGCAGGAATAGTTATGCCGCTCCACAAGAAGGGGAGTAAAAGTAATCCCAATAACTTTAGAGGAAATTCACTTTTTTATATTATGAGTAAAGTATTCTCTTTTGTGCTAATTAAGCGATTTGGATATTATCTAGATTTGCAAGGGCAGATTGGTAAAGATCAGGGTGGATTTAAGAAAGACCATTCGACCGTTGACAATATTTTATCTTGCAAGCCATTGTTTTCACTCACACATTGGGTAAAATATATTGTGCCTTCATATGCCAAGGCATTGATATGGTTGATAGGTGTAAACTGATGTATATTCTTTTTAAAAATGGTATCCATGGAAACTTCTTCCATGTTATAAAAAGTATGCACAACAATGTAAAAACAACAGTAACTTATGAGTATGGTAAAAGGTTGACCGAATATTTTGACAGCTCCTGTGGTGTTAGACAAGGTTGTACTCTTAGTCCTGTACTGTTTTCTTCATTTATAACTGAACTTGTCGTATCTTTGGAAGACAAACTTGATCAAAATATGAACAATGGTTGTATAATGGCCAAATTATGTAAACTGTTAACGCATATAAATATCTAGGACTTATGGTTACGCCCAAACTGATATGGGCACAAACTTTTAAAACCTTATCTGAGCAAGCTAGTAAAGCTCTTTTTCCAGTGAAGTTTTTAATAAGACGTTATGAGTTATCAATTAAAGATACTTTTAATATATTTGACAAGAAGATTGTGCCAATATTGACATTTGGAGGTTTTGAGAAAAGAGAAAGTATTGAAATTGTACACTGAAAGTTTTGTAAATTTCTGTTACATACAGGGAACAGGACAGCCAATTGCAGTAGCGTATGGAGAATGTGGTCGAGTTCCACAGCATACTATTTATTAAAAATATGAAAAGAAATTACAAATACACCCAAGCAGATATCCGTTTCAATGTTATAAAATGTTATTGTTAACGGCCCACAGAAAACGCCATAATTTGGCAACCTATGTAAAGCATTTACTATTTCTTTATAGGTTTGGCTTCGTCTGGTTTCACATTATGTGGGTGATACAAATTTATTTGTCTATTAATTTAGTGAAAGAGATCATGACTGCGCAATTCATGATTGGTATGCATCGTTAGATACCACATCACTTGAATTTTATAAGTCTCATAAATTAAATTTAACTTGTGAACATTATCTGTTAAATACTAATATTTGTGAGTATAAACGACTGCTAACTAAATTTAGAAGTGGTCATAACACCCTTGGTATCCAGTTGCTTCGTAGAGGTTTAGTAAGCTGTGATGACCAAACTGCTTTATGCAAGCATTGTACTGTAATTGAATACGAAATACATTTTATATGTCACTGTGTGCTTTACGATAGTGAGTGGAAATATTTAATTTAATTAATGGAAGTGATAACTATTAATCATTACAAATGTTAATGTCATGTTAAACTTTGCCAGGTTTCTGAATTATATCTTCACAGTTAGATAAAGCACTTGTTTGTCTTCCCTTAAGAAATAACTCTCTGGTACTTGTAAACCTTTTTATATTATGCGTCTGATGACCTTCATGCAAATAAACTGATGTCTGTCTGTCTGAAAAATTGAGATTGGAAGCTGACAAAGAAATTAGGATAAAACAAATTAAATTGCAGAATGATCTCTCTCACCGTACCTCAACAGGTGATGAACTGGTTGATATCTCCAAGCAGAATACACTTGTTCCGCCCCCATGAACATGATGTTAAGAAGTTTTTCTTACATATTGAAAAGGTGGCTTACAGTTTGAAATGGCCTCAACGTCAGTGGACGGTGTTGTTGCAAAATGTGTTCAGGGGAAAAGCCCAGGAACCTTATTCTGCCTTACTTATTGATAGGGGTTCGGATTATCAGGTTGTTAAGGTTTACGTTTTGAAAGCTTATGAATTGGTTCCTGAAGCTTAAAGGCAATAGTTTAGGTCTACAGTAAACTACGTTTATAACGAACACGCTTATAACGAACTGACTGATATAGCGAACCTACTTTTTTGTCCCGACTATTTACTGTAGTTATGATGTATATATGCTTATAACGAACTACGGTTATAACGAACTAAAATAAGTGGTCCTTTTGAGTTCGTTATATCCGTAGTTTACTGTACTAAGAAAATGGACGGTTCCGCTTTTGTTGAGTTTGCAAAGGGAGAAGATAGGTGATAGGTGGTGTACTTCAAAGGAGGTCTATAGTGATTTTGATGGTTTGAGGCAGTTGTTTTTTGCTGGAGAATTGTAAGCAGCGTGTGTCAGCGGACATTCGGACAGATCTTGATGAGCAGAAAGAGGATCAGTTACACAAGGCTGGCTGATGATTATTCGCTAACTCCCAGGGTTAGTTTTAAGCAGTCAGGGTTTACTGGCAGGAGTTCGCAGGGTTACAAATTAGGAAAGGACAGTTCATCCCCTCCTAGATGTAGTTCTATTTGTTTGTTGTTTAACGCCGCACTCAGCAATATTCCAGCTATATGACGGGGTCTGTAAATTATTGCGTGGATCGATGATCATGATATTAATCACTGGATTGTCTGGTCCAGACTCGATTATTTTCAGACCGCCGTCATATAGCTGGAATATTGCTGAGTGCGGCGTTAAACAACAAACCAACCAACCAACCTGATTCATGTCACGCCACAGTATGTATTCCTACACCTGGAATGTTTATCAATCTCCTCATTTTTGTCTGTTTTGACTGTTTTTGGTTAAACTATTGTAGATAAAACATGTTTTACGTTGTGGAATTTAATTATAAGCATTGACGCGGATTTCAGTCATGGCGATAAAATGTTTGTGTTTTTGCAAATCCCTGGTCAACCATTTCGTGCTAGATACCACGGTCCGTATGTTATTGACAGAATAGTCAGTGATACTGACTATGTTGTACAAACACACTGTCGTAAAAAGACACAGCTTTGTCATGTCAATATGATTAGAAAGTGTCATGAAATAACTGACTCTGTACCTACTCAGTGTGTTGCCACTGTATCACCTGTGCATATTGCATCAGCTTGTGATACTGATGTGAATAGTGATTTTTGTCAAGTTTTGATGGCATTGCTGACCTGAGCTAAACAAGTATTAGCTAACTTGGATGCAGAGTTCAGTTATTTGTCATCGGAGCAAAAGGCTCAAGTGTCAGAGTTTAATTCAAGAGTTTGCCCACTTGTTCACGGATTTAGTGTGTCATGGTGTAGATGTAGGTGGCGGTGTGCCTATGGGATGAATCCAATAAAGCTTGAAGCTCTTAAGAAAGAGATT